AAGTGACTTTCATTACAAGCATTTAGCTTTCCGAAGTCTATGACAACAATTGTTTGGCATTGACGGCCGCGAATTTCGTGCCAATAAGCTGCTTCGACTTGTTCGATTATGTTATCAACTAAATTTCATATTTATTTTCACATTTTCACTTCGCGGTCCTTCTCTGTTCTTTTTCCGTTATTTACACGTGTAGGTCATTTCATTGTTATCCACATTTGATATCATCACTTATCACATACTGCCATGACGCCCATGTATGTCCGCTACAACTGTCAAGAACTAACGCGATCGAAGCGTAGTGACAGCGGGCCAATAGAGAGCAGGATCCTTGCCATAGTGCGGTTTGCGCGCCAATTTTCGTACGTGCGTTAATCAAGCCGAATAGTTTAGCCGAATATTCGGCTATTCGGCCACGCTCTTGGTTGAATATACTATTCGTTACAACACTAGTAATTATATTAAATCTTTTATAACGTGTTGGCAATGAATACAAAGACACGCATTTAATAATAATTTTCTACGGGATATTTAAAAATTCCAATAAAATGTTATACGATGGAACGATATTTAACTCTGCATTCATTTTGTGTTGAAGACAATTACAGCATTAAACGTATTTTTTACAAATGAATAACAATTTGTTATTTTATTTCTGCATCTTTTCTAATATTTAAATATTCGGTTCCATTAAGATGAATAAAAAGAAGCAAACACTAATTACAACTTTTTACAATAAGATAATATATTCAAAAATAAGATTGAAATCTCTTGTTAATTTAAAATAATCTTATGAAAAGTTGTCACAACTGTAATCTAAAGGTTAATGTATTAGTGTTAAATGTATACTTACGAGTTCATTTTGAGTACATTTCAGGTTTGCTTACCGAGCAATGCTATATTTTATATTTACAAAATGTTTTGGTCTATTGCATTATTTATATTTATTGCTAAATAAATAATTCGATCTTTATCGCTAGATAAATGCAAACAATTCTTATTTATAAGAAAAAAGTTGTAACGAAAGAGTAACAAATGTGGCAATTATTTTTAATTCGTTAAAATTATCCATTGATTTTCCTTTATTTTTTATCGTTGTTTCTCTAGTATAAGGATATAAATGAACATTTGACTATTTACATTTTTGAAGTAAATTCACAAACTGAATATTTAAAACTCATTTTACTCAGACTTTTTATTAAATTGTATGAATGAGGATAAAGTAATCTTCTGAGTATACACTAATAAATATTCGTTCATTTACTTCGATCGAGAATAACTCTTCAGTAATATTACGTTTTCAGTTGACTTTATGATTGCAACAATTTACACTTTCTACACAATTAATAATGCCAAATCACAATGCAATATTTATGTTCTTATACCGCGTTTAATTTAAGAAATATCTAAGCAAAAATTAATTGATTTATTTTTAAATTTAATTTTAATTTTTGTGGATTTGCTATAGAATAAAGTTTCAAAATATCTTTCTATAATAACAATTTCATGTGTTTATTGTGTTTACTTTTAATCTCTAGGATGTGATAACGAAGTAGAAGTTAATGATTCGAAAGAGCAAGTCTCATGTGATCAAAAAGAAGTCACCGTGAAGGATTCTGTAGAAGTGATAGTACAATACATATTATTTTGGATCTGGCAGCACGTAAGAGAAGAGAAAAAGCAAAATTGTCTTCTTCTGTAAGTTACAATTCAATGGAAGTAATTGAAACTATTTAAAGGAGTCAATGTCTGACCGTTATTTTATGTTTTGGAGCGTTATTTTTATTTAATTATTTTCTTTTCGGGATTCTTTTTAGTTCAGGACAAACTCTTAAGCAGAGGTGGCAAAGAAAGAAAAGCAAACTTACTTTGCATCCGTGCCTGAGCCTGTTAGGCAAATGTATGCAAATTAAGACAGTGCCGAGCTGCACTAAACGTTAAATAAAAGGCGACACATCGACTACAGAGGGGAGAGTAGCATCTGGCAACGACGGTTGGCGAGACGTCTGTGATCACTTAGCGGAAGCCGTATATTTTGGCTGTTGGATCCTTCTGCGATGGAGATGAAAACGTTTTCTTTGAATTGATATTATAAGTACGATTTTTTTGAATTATTGATTTTTTGTTGTTGCTTTCACTTATTCAACTAACTGTTGGGACAATTAACCTATTATTGTTTTTTTTCAATATAACAAAACTTATATTTATTGTGAATTATTACCTGTGGTTTTGGAAATTATTGTTTTTTATTTGGAAAGTCCAGGCCTGGTACTTGAACCCTAATATTGTGTAACCCCTTTTTTTTGTTTTTCGTAAACGGTGCGTTACAACTAATTTAATAATTCTTATCATTTAAAGGTTCACAATTGAAAAACTCATGACAACAACGTACAATCTTAAACAATTTGCAGCCATTTTAATTAAATAACACAGTAAATATTTATTTAATAATACAGTAGATCCCCCTATAAAACCGTTTCCTATAGTTATGATTCCTATAAAAATTGTGGCAGTATCCGTAAACAACGGTAAAAATAACTCCTATAATACGTAAAACGTCATCGGGCAGCCAAAGTACTTTCCCGCTGTCCGTAGCGCCACGCTACGGACGTTTAGGCGGATAAATTGAGTTTAGTATCGTCTGTTCATATAATTATATATAAATTAGGTACTGTACATATAATTATATATTAATTATATATAAATTAGGTACTGTATATATAATTATATATTAACTTAATTTATTGTAACTTTATTATAATTAAATATATATTTTTCGCCGTCTAGCGTCACGCTACGGCGAGTTAGGCGACCTATCGTCTGTCCAGTACTGTAATTTTATACATTTCTTGTGAAAGAAACATTTCTTATTTAACGGCCATAAAAATTATTTATATTAAGGATGTCTCCAAAGGTCAACGAAGTTTTCGCAGAAAAATAATATCAGAAATCGCGGCCGCAATTTGATGCGCTGTTCCGCGACGAAACCAAGCTTTAGCAACGAGCGTAGTCAAAGGGTACACACTCGGTAAGTAATCCTACAATTTTTTGTTTATAACGTAGTTTATACGGATTATTTTAAAAAAAATATACGTATTTTGGAAATGTTGAGTCGAATTAGTCTAGAATCGATTAATTTTATGAAAGAAAACCTTTCAAACAGCCGTAGTCCGTAAACTATGATTCCTACAAAATTGATTCATAAAGAACGGAACGTATCTACCGTCTTATAGGGGGATCTACTGTATATATAAAGAGTTGATAAAAAATGTACGAGTACTGTAAGATTATTATATCATAAATCAGGATTATTCACTTTTATAGGATTTTACTGAGAGATTGGGAATGGACAAAGAAGACTCATTGGAATTAAATGAAAAATGAGAAGTAATGGGTGAAGGTGAAAACACAAGGAGATTATAAAAAATTTTCCGATTAATAAAATCATTTATTTAAAAATTATTAAGGAATGATTTAATGTTAAATTCGTTGTGTCAAAATCTGTTTAAATTAATTAAGTAACTTAATATTAATTTAAAAACTGTAAAAACTTGAAAAACTGTAGATGGATATCTACAGTTTTTCAAGTATGTTGGATGTGGTAGATTATTATCTTCGAAACAATTCAAAATTAGCATTAATTTCAAAATGTTTATTTCCAAAACGATTCCATTTGTTTCGTCAAAAATACTTTAGATAATTATTTTTGTTACTTATACAGTAATATGTGTCTGTTTTTACGTCTATTTCGTTTATATCTCCACAATACGCTAACTTTAAGAGAACAAGTTTGCACGATAACTTCTACGAAAGAGGCATAGACACTATTCAATTTTGGTATCTAAAAGTCGAGATGTGGGGAATAGAGGAAGTGCGTGCATAATGTTTTCAGAGGGATCGGATTTAATGAAGATTTTAAACGAAAATGTATATAAATGTGAAATAAACTGTTGTGGAACTCGACAATTAAAATCGAATTGTTGTGCTTTCTGAAAACTTTCATTGTCTTAAAAAAACGCCCTAGTAAATGTACACGAACTCCCAGTCTAAACCGGAAATCGAATGACTTTAATTGAAATGTTTTATTTCAAACGCAATTAAGTAGATGACCGGCACGATTCTGTCGTTATTAGAAACAGTATTATGTACAGTGACAAGACACTACTAATTTCAGATGAAGAACGTATATTTTAAATTAACTACATAAAAAAATATGTTGAAAAATTGCAGTCTTGCATTGCGGCATCACAATATCTTTGCTAGTTACAACTAAGCTTGCTTTATATTTAAGAAATAAAATTAATTTTTAATAAACAATCTGGTGCAGCTTAAAGACTCGCAAGTGTTTTCGATTACTGTAAACAAGAAACTATGACTTTCTATTATCGACGCAAATTTCCATTTTCGAATCTTTACCTCTTAATTCGTCGCAATATCGAACGAAAAGTCAATTTAATTACGTGTATATAAACGCAAAGAGTTTATTGTGAATAACATCGGTATATAACCACAAACTGAAACATAAACATTGAAATTAACTTTAAAACAAGAGTTAACCCGCGAAACACAGAGAAACACTGTGCACTTTACTCTTAATATTTCATTTATTATATGTTTGATTTTTTGATTCATTCAGAATGGGAAAAATCTGAAGTTATATTTATAGTGATTACATTTTTTAACTTACTGTTTATACATGTGTACTGCTTTGTCATTTCTTTTTATAGTTTAAACATTATATGTATATGTATATATATTTATAAACGTTTCATCGCGGCTTAATTTGCGAGAATAAATGAATATTGGAATACGTATAAATATTTCGCATAAACACCGATATTTTACAATGTTACATATGTTTCTTTTTTCATAAACATATTTATAGTTAATGGCACTATTATGGTATTAAATTACAAACAAATTAAAATGTAAATTTAAAAAATTATTACTTTTTAGTGTCAAAAGAAATAATCAAAGTCAAGTTCACAAATCCACTTGTTTCACAAATCACAAACGTTTATATTAACGATTAAAACTTACAATTATGAATTTCACAAAAATGAAACAATTACAATAATCCAGATATAGCAAAGTTCAAATGTCAATTAAACCACAATAACAGGTCAGTCGAAAAGGACTCCTTGCGACGTATTCCTTCAGACGTTGGTTACCGCACAGCGAGACGAAACCAACCTTCCAGGCAACCTTAGGAGAAGCTTAACAAACTTGAGTTCCTTAGATATGTCTTAGGCGAACTGAACTTCCCGCCTAATTTCAACCCTTTTAGAACTATTTCACACTATGACCGACTGGCCCGACTCCAAGTCGTGTTGCCATGACAACAGCAGTCTGCCGACCGACTAGTCGTTCCAGTCTCACAGATTTGAAAAGTTAAATATTTGTAGTCGGGTCGGAGCAGTCGGTGAGCTACAGCCAATAAGAGCTTCGAAGCTATAACCAATCAGAGTTTAGATTTATCCAATCTACGTCAAAGTTAGAAAATGGCGGAAAGTACAATATAGATTTCTCGGAAGCTTTAATAAACGAAGTCAGAACATATCCGTGGCTTTATGATATTCAGCGAGCTGATTATAAAGACAACATAAAAAAAAAATAATTATTGGACGGAGATTTCCAAGAAACTAAACGTTGAAGGTATGTGACTGACTAATCTAATAATGACGCGATATATCTAAATGCACGATCGCTTTCCATGACGGGCATGTTTTCTGTTTAATTTAAAAAACTTACCATGATTGGCTAGTATATTAATCTATAACACGCGTTCTGATTGGTCCTTATGAGTTGGCCACCTACATATAATCGTACTTATTGTGAATGCTTTTACTAGAGTCTCCATATTAAGAGGAAAGAAAGAAGAAGAATGCTTTTACTACTAGTCGGTCCGAATATAAAATCGGTCGGGTCGGACCAGTCGGTCATAGTGTGAAACAGCCCTTATACGGATTGAAACGAATGTAAGTCCTCCAATCAGCGATTAGTAGCGCTATCGGACGTCCTCAGATCGTAAGATGTTTTCTAGCCAATCGGCGGTCGAGTTTCAAAACTACTGACATCGCCGGATCCGCGTTTCCATGACGACGTCCGTTGGTCGTTTGAAAACAGGAAAAGCGCGGGAAATCGTACGTCCAGACGATTTATCCTGACAATCAAATTTGATAAAATGAAAAATGATGACGATAGATATTCATGGGAAAGTGAATCCACGATAGAAGATGACGATGATGATAGAGTAAGAGAATATTTTCTAAGTTTTTTTTACATTACTCTTATAAGCCCATTCTCGTTCTTCGCTAAACTTTTTGAATAATGTTTTGGTATTTTAAGATTTTCGTATCTAAAATAATTTTATACATTTGAAAATATTGGTTTTAGAATGTTTATATTGAAATTTTGAAAAAATCAATTTGGAAATATTTAAATATTACTTTGAAAATGGGCAAATTTACGAAAAGACTAATTGAGATATTTCATTCATGGAAAATTGATTGTTACAGCGAAATGATGGCATTCGATTAGAAAAATTGCATAATAGCAGGTTATCGGACAGCACAAAATATGTTTTAAATGGTTTTCTACAGTTTGAGTTTAAATATTTGGTGTATTTTTCGCAAAATTTGATTGGTCGTGCAGATTAGTGTTTGATGATTAAAACAGTACAAGTCAAACATCTTAAAAGTTTAACATATATTTTCACTACTTCACTAATGAAATTGTACCATTTCGTACCATCCGAGTATCGCTATAAACGTAATAATGTTAGACTAAAATAATTACTTTTTATATGGTAATTATATCATAGTATTTGATTTATATATTTACGTAAGGATTTAACATAAAGAGTGACCAATTTAACACATTATAAAAATTCTTTATTCTTTCCTACTGCACGCCCTTTAAAGAATGTCTCAGATTGGTCTCTTGGTGTGATAAACCCTTACATAAGATAACCTTTGTAATTATAAATCAAATACTATGATATAATATAATAGAAGAGTTAAAGTACGAAATGATATAATAATCTTAATCTTTGTAGTTATCATTTCCTAGTTTACCAATATATTAATATATTTATACTCTTTGCAGAAAACAACAAAGTGTTCAGACGTCTTTGAGTATTTATTTTGCAAAGTTCCATCCGTCATCTTTTCGTGTTGGAAAAGAAAAAAATAAATGCTCGATAATGAAAAAGGTACGTAAAAGATTACGTAAATTTTAATTATTACATGACTCTTATTTAATAAAAGTTAATCGGTGTAAGATTGGGAATGTTTATATAAATTAACGAAAAGAAGAATGAAGATTACGATAAATACTGTATGTAGAAATAAAAATTCACATAAAATTCAATTAACACCAAGTCATTCTACTAGTGAATAATTTACTTAGAATATAATGCGGTAATTGTGAATCACAATTCATTCAGTCATTTGTCGGTTCGGATAAACGTCTGAATAACAGTTAAGTCTACAACAATTTCTTTATCTTGCTATCACTGTACAGTACTTTCATTGTGTATAAAGTACCTGTGACAATAGAACACGCTGCTGTTACTCCTAAAGTCCAGACGAGTTAATAAAAACAGTTAATGCGAAAACAGAACATTTTAGCCTTCACTTTTAACTGGCTTTACTCTCTTGATTATGAAAATAACTGTATGTTATAACCATAACTGGTTCATGGTAAGGCCGCATCTTAGTTTGTTATACCCCGTTTGCACTGAGTATTTCAATCTAAATTGAGATCAAGGGCGGCGACTTTGCTGTGGTTCGACCTCTCTGGACTGAAACTAGCTTCAATCGCGATCGACTCAAGAGAGTTCTTAAAACTAGATTTACAGTAGAGCGTCGTTTATCCGAATCAATTGGGGCTGGGGTTGTTCGGATAACTTATTTTTCGGATAACCAATTATGTACGAAAAAATATATTAATTTATCCCGTGTTGAAATTTTTCTCCGTTGCGTGTCGCTTCGCGTTGAATTTTCGTCGATGTTAAGCCTAACGAAGACTATTGTATCGTTAAAAATTATTTTTTTATTTTGTACAAACAAAATAAATATATTGAAAAATATAAAAACAATAAAAAATTATACTTCAGAAGTTAATTTAGTATCAAAAACATAAAATATTTGAGTAGCCCAAGAAATAGCCAAAGATTACAGCGCCACAGCACTGGCGAAAATTTAAATTTGTCTACTGGAATTCCTTCGGATAACCGACGTTTCGGATAAACGACGCTCTACTGTATATTTAGACGTCTGTGTCTGTACATACAAGCGTGTAAACTAAGTTTCTGAAAGACAGTTTAAAGTTTTGAATAAAAGATACCTTCATAATATATATTTTAAGAAGAAACTCATATCATCACATTTAAAACACTGAAAAATGTCTTTAAAAATTAGATGAGATGATAAGCAATTTTATTAAATTAAGGTATGTTTTTCTGCTATAAAATGACTTTATTATTTGTGGCAAAGATTCTTGTTAAGTAAACGTAAAATGTAAACAATGATGAAACATATAAGATTTAAATAATAAGTCTTGTAATTTAAAAAATTATTTAATATCGCTTTTTTAAATATTTTTACAGAGGAAATTGAGCTGTTGCAGTTTCCTTCTTCTTATTTTTATATCTTTTGTGAAAATTTAACTTTAGATGGATTTCCGGTAATTATTCTGGTAATTATATTCGATTTTATTTTATAAATGTTTGAATCGTATAGTATTTTTAATATTCATGTAAAAATTAATTTTGCATTTCATATTACTTCTTTATTAATTGCAGTATTATTCTGAAAATTAATTGTGCATATCATTATGTGTTACCAACACATTATAATAATTTCGTTGTCACAGTTTTCAGTAGAAAATTATTAAATTTTCATCAAGCACGTGCTATTTAATAATCTGCTCAACATTCTAACTTGAATTATTCAGTTTATTTCTACCAAACTGATTGAGAATTTTGATGAATCTATCAATTTTTCATTGCACATGTGATTGGAGCTTTGCCGGATCAAATTTCAAAGAAAGAGCATTTGCTGAAATAATACAACAGCATTGATTAAAAGAAAAGTTGCTTTAAAATAGGCCCTTACGGTGATGCTTAATCAATGGCTTCATGCTGAATTATGAACGTTTTTGTTCGTTAATTTTTTTCTAACTTCCGTTAGTATTAGCGGACCCAAAAAAAGTTTTGTTCTTTAAATTTATTCATAACTTTCGTATAAATTAACTGAGAAACAAAAAAGTTTTTAGACATCTTTTTAGCTATTTCTCCACATAGCCGTCTAATATATGGATTATAAATTGACTGGAATGATTTTATCCATATCTTGTCGTTCTTCTCTTTGCGGAAGGTCTTCAGTTGCGTTTTGATATTCATGCAATAAGTTGCGTACGAGCTTGCCGTATCCGTGTTCAGCGGCTATTCGTTGTGTAAGTCTTAGCTCTGATTGTAGGGCTCGCTCGGTAGAAGTGTGTGTATGCTCTCTTAATTAGGGCCTTAAATGGTGCCACTTTATATTGCGGTGGGTCACATGACCCTACTGGTATGTATATGCCTTTTGTTTCTAACTTACGGTACACCGCCGTGTGAATTACCGACTCTTCTACCTTCATGTGAATATCTAGGAAGTGTATATTCGTCTGGTGCGCTTGTTCTATTTCTATGGTTAATCAATACGTGTTATTCATTGTGTCGACTTCACAACATCATTTTGTATAAGAGATACGTTGACAATATTATCATATTGTGGAAAGAAATACCGGACATCAAGGCTCTCGTCGACACAATGAATAGCTCGTACGCAACTTATTGCATGAATATCAAAACGCAACTGAAGACCTTCCGCAAAGAGAAGAACGACAAGATATGGATAAGATCATTCCAGTCAATTTATAATCCATATATTAGACGGCTATGTGGAGAAATAGCTAAAAAGAACCACATACGTATAGCCTATAGAAGGTGCGCTTCGATATTCAACATCCTAACCAATGGAAAAGATCAACCGGATAAGGATAAGCTGTCAGGGGTCTACAGCATACCGATTATAAATCGCAGATGTGATAGAAACCTTCTGTATGTGAGCTCCACCAAACGATCCTTAGAGGTTAGACTCAAAGAACACGCTGCTGATATTCAGAAACAAAGGAGCACGACGGCCCTAGCGGTATATGCCTGAGATCCGGATATAGACTCCGAATTTAAGAAAGCCAGAATTATCTGCACCACACGGCACGTACACCATATCAGATGGCTAGAGGCGGCCAGCATTTACTTAGCTAACCTTAAGAATAATTAATGCATCAATTATAAAGAAGAGATTACGTTATCAACAGCGTGGCTAGCGTTTATGAATGGTAATTTATGATAGCCCGTTTTGGAGTCGACTGCGCATGACATATAACGACGGAAACGGGAAACGTGCATTCGAACGTACATATTTCGAATATAAAGTTTTTACGAGCTGCATGTTCCATCAGAGATTCGAAAAAGCCTGAAGAAGAACCGTTACAGGGGTTTGAAAACGTTAGTTTTGGTTCGTTTTTGGATCGTTAAGAGTTAGTAGACGCACCGGTAACAGGTTAGAAAGAGATAATTATATTAAAAAAGTTTTTGTTCGTTAGATTTATTTATATTTAAATTTATTTTTTGTTTGTATTTGAAAAAAAAGTTTTTTTTTTTATTTATGTCTGTTTTGTATTTATAAAACGTTTATATTTAGTTTATTTATTGTTTTATTGTATTTAAAAAAAATATATTTTTTGTTTATTTATTGTTTATTTTTATCTAAATAAGACTTTATATTCTGTTTATGTACTGTATTGTTTGTTTCTATTTAAACAAAAGTTTATTTTTCGTTTATTATGTGCTTTTTGCTAAATAATGAATATGTAATATTTTAATGTCAAAAATGTATTTAATAAATTAAATGTTTTGAATGAAAGCTTCTGAATAAAATATTAATTTGGGTTCCTCAATAAAATTATTTAAAGTCACTACTATATAAGATTGTTATAATATAATGATAAAATAAAAATTACTATAAAAATAAAGAATTATATTTTATTTATATAATATTAATCATAAAATATAATTTATACATACAAGCTTTAAATATATATGTCATTTAAAGTGTTTATTTTTTATTTACTGTATTGCAATATATATCTTTCTATGCAAAGCAGCAGCTGTCAGAACAATAATCACTGTGTCATCTGCTTAGGATATCGAATATATTTTTTGCTTCTTGAATTGAAGACCATCGTTTTCACTAGTAATGTAACGGATATTCGGTTACTATTCGGTATTTGGCCTATTCGGCCTATTTTTCGCTATTCGGCCGAATACCGAATATTTAATGACTATACCGAATACCTGAAAACAGGAATAAAAAATAACAAAAACACAGTAAATTAATCATTTTGGTATTTAGATTTAATGTTATCGAGTTAGTGTTTGTTTATATTTATTTATAACTTATAACATGCACAAAATAAAAAAGAACATAATATTAATCACATGTATTCACAATTTATAATTACAAAGATCAGCACACGTACACATCTATTCGTTCGAGAATCGTCGCACATCTGAGGGTCTGACCCTGCCTATCCTTGTTTTTAAGCGCTCGTCTTTGCTCTTTCCTTTCTCTTTTCTATCGCTCTAGTCCACGTATGCCTATGCATACATCATAATACGCCCTCACGATACTTTCGATTCGTCACTTTTCCGTCGTAGATTTCCCATTTTACAATTACGTGACTCATAGCCTGGTGATAACGGAGAAAAGAGACAGATAGGACGTCGGTATAAGTCACAGTTATGATTTCACAGATTCGAGA